TCTCCCCGCACTCCATCTTTCCTTGAGTCACAACTCAAACGCCACTGACTTTGCAAAGCCAGCCCTGATTTTCCCTGTGTGTAAGTCCCGTCAGAGATCTCAGGTTTCTTTACTAGCACTTCATCTGCATATGCTTCAGCTATGTGCCTTCCTTCCTTCTTTTATCATCACCTGGGCAACTGATACCATTGACTAACTTTGTAAGATCAGAGACCATGTCTTATCTCTCTCTGTGACTCTAACTAGTCCAGGTATTCCACTGGGCTGGGTCTCTGCCTTATTGACTGAGCATCTCTCGAAGAATATTAGGAACTTCAACATGAGAGAAGTGTAGCAGCACTTTTCAAAACCCTTTCTTCACTTCCCAAGTTGTCTTAAATCATCAGAAGCTTTTAAATCTATAGTACCCCAAGCTCTTTCTCTAGATCTAGCCTTGAGGTCTTTTTTTCCAGCTTCGCCTTCTTTCTCGGTTCTTAGACAGATCAACTTAGTCTCTTCAGCTAAGGCCTCTCTCCTATTCTCCTTATTTCTTGCAAAGTGTAATTTTTTTTAGTAAGTGAGAAACTGGGAGGACTTTCATATGCTATTTTGCCCCCTCACACATGCATCTACTACAAAAGGCCTGCTCCTAGGAGACTTAAAATAAACAAATAAACAAACACTCAAGAATGAATGAATTATTAGGGTAACCAGCCCACCCCAGAAATTATGACCAATCTCAGAGCTTCTCTCCATCTCCACTACTTCTCCTAAACCAAGCCATTATAATTGGTTGCCTGGATCTGCTACAGTCTTGTAAGTGGTATTTGTTCCTCGAGTCTTGTGCCCCCAGGATCCATTCTCCACACGAAAAGCAGAGTGATCGTTCAAAAATATGTGTAATATCGCCCGGCTGGTGTGGCTCAGTGGATTGAACGTTGACCGTGGACTGTGAGGTCTCAGTTCGATTCCTGATCAGGGCACATGCCCAGGTTGTGGGTTCAGTCCCCAGTAGGGAGCATGCCGGAGGCAGCTGATTGATGTTTCGCTCTCACATAGATGTTTCTATCTCTCTCTCCCTTCCTTTCTCTCTAAAAGATCAATAAAAGCATATTTTAAAAAATCTATGTAATTTCACTTCATTCCCCTCCCAATTTCCCCCCCGCATTATAATAAAATTAAAACTCCCAACCCTGCAAACCTCTTCATGATCTGGCCCCCTGCCTACCTCTAACATCAATCACAGCTCGTGTCCCTTCCACGCTTGCCCATCATGCTCCAGCCACACTGGGATCCCTTCTAAGGCTTTCGCATCAGCGGTTCTTCTGTTTGGAGTGAACTCCTTCCTGTCCTTCAGACTTCACCATACATGTCACCTCCACAGAGGACTTCCGTGACCTCCTGGTCTAGAGTACCTTCCCCCAGACACTGTCTCACCCCCTTTCCTTATTTTCCATTTGGCCTCTGTTGCTGCGGAACAGTTTGTTATTATTACATCTCAAGATTCTACAGGTGAGGAAATCAAACGGCACAGCTGTCTGCTCCGTGGGTCTGGGGCTTCCGCTGACATGACTGTGACGGCTGGGAGCCTGGAACAGCTGGAGGCTGGCTGACACCTCCCCCCACACGTCTGTATGGCTATCTTGGCTTTCCTTCCAACGTGGTGACCTCATGATGGCTGAACTTCTCACACGGCAGCTCTGGGTTCCAAGAGACCAGTTCTCTTGAAAGGAATTGGAACTATTATAGGGTCTCCTCTGCCATACTCTATTGATCAAAACAGACCCAGATCACCCTGGCCAGTTTGGCTCAGCGGTTAGAGCGTCAGCCTGCGGTCCTGAGAGACCCGGGTTCGGTTCCCGCTAAGGGCGCGTACCTCGGTTGCAGTTTGTCCCCGGCCCTGGTTGGTCGTGCGGGTGGCAGCCACTCGATGTGTTCCTTTCACATCGATGTTTATCTCTCTCTCTGTTCCTCTCTCTCTCCCTCCCAGTCTACCTGAACAAAAAATGGAAAAATGTCCTCTGGTGAGGATAAAAAAAAAACAAAAACAAACCCAGATCAACTCAGATGCAAACAGAGGGAACCGAGACCTTCCCTCTCTGGGAGAAATGTCAAAGAATTCAAGGCCGCATCTGATGTGCCAGAACCACATTTGGGTGATGACTTACCAATTTCTTTGTTTACATGTGTAACTTGTTTAGTGAGCAAACAGTGAAAGTACAAACAAACCATGTTTTCCTTTTCTCTCATCATTGCTTTCAGATAAATTATGTTGCTTCTACTTTTTTGGTCTCTTAATAGCATTTTGGGCAGATCTTCTAGTGCTCCTGTCACTTTAATTTATTTATGGTCTAGTCCCATCTAGGCTGGTCCATCCAATTTAAGTATAACACCTCTTTCTTCCCAAGACAGAGCCTGGATTTGGCTCAGGGGAGCTGAGAGGGGCATGGTCTGTCCCTGTACCCCTCCCCGCTTCCCTCTTTCACACAGGGTCAGGAAGGAGGAAGCGGGGGAAAGTCCCTCTTAGTTGTGGCCATTTCTTCTCTGGCGATGACTGTGCCTACCAGGACAGGTGCCAACTCTCTTGGTGCACTGCAGGGCCACCCATACATAGCACTGTTCCCTGATGTGCTTCCTTTTCAGCTCTATGTCCGATACCCCCACTCAGCAATTGTGGGAAACTCCTGCTGGATGCCCCAAGGTGTCCCCTCTCCCTAACCCGTCACTCTTCCGTTCTCCACCCCCCCAGTTCCCATTCAGATAGCGCATGGGCAAACCCAGCTTCACAGAAAGGAGGGTGAGGCACCAGCAACCCAGGTCTCCAGCGACCTCGCCTCCCTCCTTCCCTTCCCCCTTCCTGGTCTTCTGCTTATGAAGGGGCCTTAACGGGGCCCCAGGTGAAGTTTGGGCCTAGCAGAATTACTTCAGCCATCTCTTAATAAATCCTGTAGGCGATATGTTCAGCCCCCAATTGTTTCTTCTTTGTTTTAGAGTGTGGGGTACTCAAGGCTCTTTCCCCTTAGTTCTAGGTCCAGTCACCAGTTTGAGCAACAATCAAGTCCACTCAGTATCCTGTAACGCATGACTATGACCTGTTTCTCCACTCAAATACAGGATCTGTGAGAGCAGATCCGTGTGCCCTGTTCCCCACTGGATCCTTGGCGCCCAGGACAGTGTCAGCTACGCAGGTGGTGCTCCACAAGCATACAGTGAGCAAATGAAAAGGGCCCTTTACACCCAGCCGGTGTGGCTCAGTGGTTGAGCATCAACCCTTGCACCAAGAGGTCGCCGGCTGGACACATGCCCAGGTTGTGGGCCCGATCCCCAGTGGGGGGCATGCAGGAGGCAGCCAATCCATGTTCTCTCTCATCGATGTTTCTATCTTTCCCTTCCTCTCTCTCTAAAATCAATAAAGAAAAAAAGGAAAGAAAAGAAAAGGGCCCGTTGGGCCAGCTGCTCTGGAAGCACTGCCAGTGTGGTCAGTTCCTTCCCTCCTCATTCCCACTGCTCTGGCCTCCACGAGCTCCCGGGTCTCGGTCCAGTTCTCTCCTGGGCTCCACGGCCTGGGCAGGAAGGCCGATCTCCCTGTGGGTCATTTGGAAGCTGAGAGCCTTGGAGATGCTACAGGGACTGAGCTGTCCCTGGGACCAAGCCGAGGGGAAGGGGCACTGCTCTCAGCTCAGTCTGTCAAAGGCAATGGCTCCGAGTGGCTGTAGCCCAAGAGGAGAGATCAGGAAAGCGTAGTTTTGCAAAGTATGTTCCCTGGGGCTGGCCCACACCCCTGCTGCAACCACCAGCCAGAAGAACATTCTGACCAGCGTGTCCTCCAGGGGGCCAGGCCTCCGTGGACAGACAGCCAAGGGCAGCTGCCTGAGCAAGGCCAACCCACCCTACCCACGGGACTGTCCACAGCTTCCCTTCAAAGCCCAGGGCGAGCCTGCCCCTGGGTCCCCATGGGTTCGTCCTGAGCTGCCTGCAATGAATGGGGACCTCCCCTTCCCACAATACATAGATCAATAAAACGATATACCTTTGGACCAGAGGTGGATGGGAGTCTGATAGTAGGGGGTTAAGATGGAAAAAAATTTAAAAAGCATTTTTTCTCATTTCATGCCAAGGCCTTCAGGAGGAAGGCAGAGGAAGATGGGAAGGAAGAGGAGACCCGGCAGTGTCTGTGGACCCCTGCACTTGGCAGCCCGAGCCAGCTGAGGCCAGGGGAGCCCAGGAGCTCCCCTTCACTCAGGGTCCGGAGGGCCAGGCCATGGGGTAGCCCTGGGGGGAGGGGGACGGGACTGCGCTCTTGGATTTGACACTGGGGACACTGGAGCCAGGATCCACCAGCTTTGGGGCCAAGACTACATCTTGGGAACCCTTCCTTATAGGGAGAGTGGGCCTCAGGGCTGTTGCCCAAAGCAGCTGGGAGGAAGGCACTCCCGGAAGCTGCGGGAGAGGCTGGAGCCAACCTGAGGGCAGCGTTGGGGCCCAGGATCCCTTTTCTATCCTGCTTCCATTTTCTGCGGTTGCTCGCTGCTCGGGCAGACACACTCCCTGGAGAGGCCGATCCAGACTAGAATAACTTTATTCAAGAGAATCTGGCTTGGCCGTCAGACAGCCGCGCAGGGAAGCTTGCTCCAAGTCCAGCCTGGGGCCCACTCATCGTCTGTGTCCCTGAGAGGGGCGGAACGGAGGAGCCTTCCTTGGCCATAAAGGACGATGTGCCGGTACAAGCAATGGCAAGATGAGAGGAGAAACCGAAGGGGGCTAGGAGTGGCAAAGGCCCCGGGCAACCACTGTTCTCCAGAGCTGACTGTTCTGCTTTCCAGGGTGCAGAGCTGCTGCCAGGAAGAGGGGAGCCACAGGGCCCTGCCTGCCTCCCCACTCAGCTGGGGCCAAGGCGGCCAGAGCAAGTTCCTCCACCCCATCCTGGCAGGAGCTTCGAAGGCCCAGGGACAGGCGGTGGGTTCCCCCACTTCTCTTCTTCCCTCTCCAGCCTCTTGGAGACCCCCGGGGCCTGGCTTGTCCTTCACAAAGTCACAGGTCTTGTTCTTCCCAAGCTGGAGCACACACAGGCTGTGGCTGCCGCCTTTCTCTCACGTTCTGCTTAAGGCACTGAATTCCTGAGGGTCCTGTCCCTCCCTGTCCCTCGTCTTAGAGGGGATGAGTCATTCAGCAGGGATACAATTGGCTAATAAATAGAGGGCTGGTGCCAGCAAGGAGGTAACTGAGAATGTGACGATAATAAATACAGGAGCCGGGTGTGGGGTCTCTCTCCTCCAAGGGGCTGGTTACCTCGGGGGAGAAGTATCACCGCACCTGCCAGAGACCAAACACAGAAAGCGGGTATTAGCACACTGTGGAGGGTAGGGTCCCTCCTATGGGAGGGGAGACACACCCAGAGGGGAAGCTTGGACAGGGAGCACAGGGAGGTCGCAGCATGCCTGGATCTCTGCTTGCACCAAGGCCAACGAGAAGCTAGGAGCGACCCTTCACCAAGCCCACACCCGGGTGCCCAGCCCTGTGCTAAGCACCTCTTCTCTCCTTAACGTTATCTCATGAGGAAGGCATTGTTATTATTATCCTTTTGCATAAGGATAAGGAAACTGAGGCTCAGAGAGGTTAAGAAACTTGCCCAAGGTCACACAGCTAGTCAGTGACATGAACCGAGTCTGGCTCCATACACTAATAGCTCTGATTACTTTAGGACAGCAGTCTTCAAAAGAGGGTACAGGTACCCCTAAATGTACATGAAACTTGTCCAAGATGAGTATTGATGGTTTTAAAAGAATCCATTTTCACCCAGCCGGCATGGCTCAATGGTTGAACATCGAACCATGCACGAAGAGGTCACCGGTTCGATTCCTAGTCAGGGCACATGCCTGGGTTGCAAGCTCTATCCCAGTAGGGGGTGTGCTGGAGGCAGCCGATCGATGTTTCTTTCTCATCGATATTTCTCTCTCTCTCCCTCTTCCTTCCTCTCTGTCTAAAAATCAAGAAAACATATTAAAAAAAAATCCATTTTCAGTTCTCCACCTGAAAACTGCCTCCTGAAAGGTGGGCTTCCCCACCGTCCTGAGAGTTCACAATCAATCCCCTTTCCACCTGGAGCATAGCATGCTGCCACTCCGACTGCTGTGACAATACTTCGCCCCAAGGCAAGAGTATCCAGGGGACACCGGTTAAAGAACAACTCAAAATACTGGTGTACGTGTTGAGAAAGGAAATATGGCAAATGGCTGGGTAACCAAGGCTTTTCGAAAGTCACGTGGTTTCCAAGTTGTTGCTTTCAACAAAACTAAAGAACAACTTAACCCAGTTGTCAGCTAATGTGTCATGAGAAGTAATTTCTGTTAGCAGATCACCTTGAGGTGTTTGGCAAATGACTTGGAAGGAATTTGTGGATGAACAAGGGGCCGTAGCCCTGGCTGGTTTGGCTCAGCGGTTAGAGCACTGACCTTGGACCAAAGAGTTGCAGGTTTGATTCTGGTCAAGGGCACGTACCTCGGTTGCAGTTCGGTCCCCAGCCCTGAGCAGGGTCGTGTGGGAGGCAACCAATCGATGTGTCTCTCTCACATAGATGTTTCTCTCCCCCCCACCCCCCGACTCTATCTGAAGATAAATGGAAAAAAGAAGAAAGGAAAAGGGGCCACATACTAAACCCGACCAGCTCAGCGGAAGCCTGCGCGGTGGGCCTTACAAACTCCGAGACTGAAGGTAACACAGGTGGCGGAACAGGAACCTTCCTAAAAGTGAGTCGGGTAGTCACTTCCTAGGCCTGCAGCTCCCGTGACAAAGTTCTGTCTTTACGTCAGTGAGCCTCATGTCTTCAGCATCTAAGATAACATACCTTTGAAATGTCAGAGTTCTCTCCCTTTCCCGGCCCCTCAGGGCACAAATTCCAGACCCTTCATTGCTCCCTTGTTCCTGGTACACCATCTGGGTGCTGTAAATGTCACCTGTGAACTACCCTGCACCCTCCCATGTAAAACAAGTACTCATCTATCCTTTTCCTTTTCATCCAGTCCCAGAGATGTCCCCACTTTGCTTTCTCCTGCCTCCCTAACCTACCGAGCACCAGTGGATTTCAAGCAACCCTTCTTTTTTTTTTTTTATCCTCACCCGAGGATATTTTTTCCATTTTTTGTACAGACAGAGTGGGAGGGAGAGAGAGGAAGAGAGAGAGAGAAACATTGACGTGAAAGGGACACATCAAGTGGCTGCCACCCGCACGACCAACCAGGGCTGGGGACAAACTGCAACCGAAGTACGTGCCCTTAGCGGGAACCAAACCCGGGTCTCTCCGGACCGCAGGCCGACGCTCTAACCGCTGAGCCAAACCGGCCAGGGCTCAAGCAACCCTTCTTCGGAATCCTTTGATTCTAATGTATAAAACAAGCTGCATAACGGCCTGTCTCTGGAGCCTTTTCTCAACCTGTTGAGATTTTGCTTCCCAGCAATTGTCGGTTTGGCTCAAATAAACTTTAAAAAATTCTCTACAGTTTGGATGGTTCTTATATCGACAAATTCAAGTAACTAAGAGATATCTAGTCCTTCTACTTATTCATGTGAGCATGGTATCTCAACCTTTACATCTATAAAAAATGGTGAGCAGCAACGGAATGAATGCTGAATCCTGTCTCAGTCTGGCGGGAGGTAACATTCATTAACGGGTTCATTAATTGAAAGAGGTAGCCACATCCGTCTCATTGAGATGCATCCCTAATGAGATAGATTGTACTTCTTTTTAAAAATAATTCTTTAGCCCTGGCCGATTTGGCTCAGCGGTTGGAACATCGGCCTCTGGACTGGAGAGACCCAGGTTTGGTTCCCGCTAAGGGCACGTACCTCAGTTGCAGTTTGTCCCTGGTCCTGATTGGGGTTGTGTGGGTGGCAACCACTCCATGTGTCTCTCTCACATCGATGTTTCTCTCTCTCCTCCTTCTCTCCCTCCCGCTCTATCTGAAGATAAATGCAAAAATGTCCTTGGGTGAGGATAAAAAAACAAATTCTTCATTGATTTTTAGAGAGAGAAAGGGAGAGGGAGACAGAAACATTGATGTGAGAGCAAAACATCATTTGGCTGCCTCCTGCATGCTCCCTACATGTATTTGTGCTGTTTTGATTGGTACTACTAATAATTATTGTGATAATTAATCTGAGAAGAAAATTTCATTTAGAGTTTATATTTACAGGAAATTTAAAATCATTCAAATGTATATACCATTGTTATAGCAGATACATATGACAAGGTGATGTATAAAAGACTTGAACATTAAAAAAGTACACTAGGCTGAAATTCTGTGGGGGAAGTGAAATGGAAATATAAGTTCAAGGAAAAAAGAAGCGATGAAAATATGCAACTACTGCCCAGCTGGTGTGGCTCAGTGGTTGAGCATCGACCCATGCACCCAGAGTTACTAGTTCGATTTCTGGTTCAGGGCACATGCCCAGGTTGTGGACCTAATCCCCAATGAGGGGCATGCAGGAGGTGGCCAGTCGATGTTCTCTCTCATCGATGTTTCTATCTCTCTCTCCCTTACCCTTCCTCTGTCTCTAAAACATCAATAAAGAAAAAAAAAAATGCAACTACTATTAAAGGAGAGTGTTCATATTTATATTTTTTGTTGCTGTTTGTTCATTTTTTGTTGTTAATCCTGAGAATATTTTTCCATTGATTTTTGGAGAGTAGAAAGGAGGGAGGGAGAGAGACACACATTGATGTGAGAGAGACGCATCAATTGGCTGCCTCCTGCACAACCCTGCGGTTGGGGCCTGCAACCTGGGCATGTGCCCTGACTGAGAATTGAACCAGGGCTTCCCAGTCCATGGCATGACACTTAGAACCCTGAGCCACACTGGCCGGGCTGTCCATTTCTGCTTAAAGTGGATGATGGGCCCAGCTGGTATAGCTCAGTGATTGAGCGTCATCCCTTAGACTGAGAGATCCCGGTCCAATTCCTGGTCAGGGCACATGCCTGGGTTGTAGGCTTGATCCCCAGTGGCGGGGGGGTGGGGGGGGGTGTGTCTGCAGGAAGCAGCTGATCAATGTATCCCTCTCACATCGATGTTTCTATCTCTCTCTCCCTTCCTCTCTCTCCAAAAAATCAATAAAAACATTTTTTTTAAAGTAGATGATGGTATTAAATTAAAATGCCTTATTCCCTAGGATGCACCCAAAGAGTTATCTAGTGGTGTTATATTAAAACATTACTATTTATAACATGCCAAAAATGATATCTTTGCGACTATTTATAATTTTGATGGAAAAGTTCAACGTTAACTAAAAAATGAGCATGGGAACACATGGGTTTTTGCAACTCCTTCAGGAGATTCCCAAGTGAGACGTCCGCAGACTGCTGCCCTGGCGGATGGGGGCACGGCGCGTTCTCTCTGGGCCCGCCTGTGCGGGAGCCCTGCACCCCCGGCCTGCTCGGCCCGAGGTGCTGCTGGGGCCAGGGGAAAACGAGGGCCACCTGCTTCAGGGGACGAACTTTCCTAGAATTCCTGCCTTCATGGAGCGGGAAGGGGGTTCTCCACTCATGGAGGGGAGGACCCACAGGGCAAGACTTGGGTCAGCTCCAGTCCTATGGCCCAAAATGATTTCGTGGAGTCTTGGAGCGGAAAGGAACTGTTTTGTGACTGAGTTACTGGAGACGTGAAATATTACTTCTTTTTACTATTTACTCTCACAGATTTGGGTTTGCCCTTTCTAATTCCTGTCTCCCAGCTACACTCAGGCCTGGACTAACCTGGACCGCCAGGTGTGAAGCCGAGGTGGACAGGTAACATTGAGAGGGAAATAGGAAGTGAGTGGACCCCAAACCCCCTGCGGGGGCGGGGGCAGAAATATGGCCGCGGGAGCCAGTGGGCCGCTTCTCCTTCCCCAAGGCCTCTAGGAAGTAGCCTGATATGTTTCCAGCTGTTGGATTTTTCATCACTAGAAGATAAGCACTTAAGAGCAAGAGTCTTGTTGGTCTGTTCACTGGTATGCCCGGCAAACAGTTAAGTGCTTGGTAAATGTTTCTAGAATGACGAAATGCTTGATGGGCCCCTGGCCTGTCATTTTACGCAGAAAGATAAACAGGCTCAGAGAGGTGACATGACTTGCTCAAGCCACACAGAGACTTGGGCTAGGTCAGGACAAGAGCTGAGGTCCCCTAATATTTCCTGGGCCCTAGAATCTAGAAATGCAGCTCTCTGTTCTGACCCCCAAGACTGCTCTGGGACTTGCTTTCCTCCTTCCCCGCCACTAACCCTTGCTGATGGGGGCTCCCCTCTGGCTCAGCCTCCTTGTCATCCCTGGCCCCCCCCAGCACACTCACAGCTGGCAGTCTGTGGGTCTCTGCTTCTCTTTCTTCCTCTTCCCACTGCCCTTGGGTCTCCTCCTGCAATAAGCCAAAAGCGTCAGGACAGAGTAGCTGGAGGGTTCTCATGCTAGGACAGGGGCTGGCAGGCCCGAGAACGGTCTGGAGCCTCAGGCACGCCACTTACCTTTCTGTCTTCATCATCTCCCGCAGAGGCCTAGGGAAACAAACAGAGAGGCAGGGGAGAATCAGGAGAGTACAAGTGGGGGCTCTCTGCCACCCACACACCTCCCCTCCAACATTGGAATCCTGGCCCTGCAGTCGGCGCTGGAGCCACTAGGGGGTAGCAGAGAGCTAGTGAAGAAGAGATGGCCAGAGGCCTCTGGGCTTCAGCTCCCACTCCAGACTCTGGTGACCCCACCAAGAGAGAGACGAATTCTCCCTTGGGCCCCTTTCCATAACCTTCTGCACTTCTCAGCTCCTTGGCATCAAATCTGGAGATTTGTAAGCCTGTTCTTTCCTGCCTTCTCTGTTTACTTCTTCTCTTGTTCCTGCTATTTGTTCCAGGGTGCACTCGGTTTCCTCAAGGACAGTGGACGAGGCCATAGAGTGGTGGGTGGTGCCCCTTCTTCCCACTGAGCACAGGCTGCCAGCGAAGGCCGCCTGTCAGTACACAACTGCCACCCCCGCTCCTGGGACGTGTGATGCTGCAGGCAACACAGGAGGAGCGGATGAGGGATGGAGTGAGGGGAGGAAGCACAGCCGCTGGTCACCAGGCATGTCCTGGCTTTGCCTCTGGAGCTGTGACTGTTGGCCCAGAAGCGAGAAGAAAGGTGTCCCTGTTGGTCAGCCCATTGGAAGGGGACAGGGCCTCAGTCTTCCCTGGAAACGGGGGGGGGGGGGTAGCATGGCTGGGGAATGTGGCCCTAGGCTGGCTGTCTTCTGGGAGCCAGGATAGGGTACCAGGGCCGCTTGGACTGCCTGGTCATGCCTCTGCCATCTGGGGCAAGTCAGAGACACCCACGGAGACTCAGTTCCTCGCCTGCCTGCCCAACAGAGTGCTTTTTAGGGCAAACGTGACGTGGAACATGAAAGGTCACTGTCTAGCACTGTGCCTGGGAGGGCTCATTACTGAATGATTATTGTATGACTAAACCGGACTGGCAGGAAGGGGAGAAAATGGGCTGAGGCAGGCCCCTGACAGCGGTATAGTGAAGAGGGCCTCGAGCCTGGGCTCAGTCCAAGAGGGGCGGCCAGAACCCTGGACACTAAGCAGAGCCAAGCCCAGGGCCGTGCTGGGTCTCCTGGAGAGTGGCCCTGAGAGGTTGCATGAAAAAGGGTAGGCTTAGGGGTTAGACAGGCGGGGGATCAATCATAATCTGTGGCAAATCACATAACTACACCAAACCTCAGTTTCCTCATCCATAAAATGGGGCTGACGATAGTACGTACCTCCCAGGGTGTTATGAGAGCGGAGACCTTGTCTGTCTTGTTCACCACTCTATCCCAACCACCGAGACAGTGCCTAGCACATTGTAGGTGCTCAGTTAGTTCTCATTTGACAATGAGAAGAGTTGAACATTGAGAAAACACATTCACACAGAAGGGGCACAGTGAATGGTGGTGGTGTCCCTTCTTCCCACTGAGCACAGGGCTCGGGACCTCTTGTCTGGTGCCTCCATCCACAGGCCAGGGGCACCAGGACAGCACCTCACCTGTTTCTCTCTTCCCTGGGCCTGGCTGGTAGGTTGAGCCTGTTCCTCGTGGTAACTAGTGTTCAGAGCGCCCTGGGAACAGGCTGGTCAGAGGCCCTGCTGGTGGGGGTGTGATGGTACAGAAACCTCAGTGCCTCCCTCCTTCTGCCCCTCTCTTCCTGCCATAGCGTGTCCTTCCCTGTGCTCCTCTGCTCAGCTGTCCCCTTGCACAGGTGCCAGCCTGGCCCAGATCTGAGCCCAGGCTTGAAATATCCTTGCCTCAGTGTCTCTTCCAGGACTGTGGCAGCTGCCTCCCATCTCAAGGAGGGGGATGTTGTGCCCAGAGCCCCTGCAAGTCCGGGGGGGACCCAGGCTTCCTTTGCCCCTGTGGCTTCATGTCAGCTGTGCTCAAACCACTGGGACCACCTCCTGAGGCAAAAACGGGCTGATGGGAGTGCAAAATACAGCTGCCTCTGGCCCCCGCGTTCCCTGGTCTCCCTCAGCTAGGGAGGAAGAGTGGCCTGCAGCAGGGATGGCAGCCACATGGCTAAGGCTGCCGAGTGCATGGAGCCTGTCCCTGCCACTCCCCGAGGACCTACCTGCACTTGCAGCGGGTGTGCTGAGAGAATGTCATCTCCACGTAGGAGGACCGCTCCCCGGAGCTGACCCTCAGGATCTGCGGGAGAGAAAGTTTGGAGATCTGGTTTGGGGGCTGGGCCGTGGATTTCCAACTCCCTCCGTGTGGGGATAACCAGACTCCATGTTCCCCCCATCCTTTGGACTACATGCCCTCGTTCTGCTTGGAGTGTGGGGCAAACAGCCCTCCCAATGGCTTGTGAATCTGAGGAGGCCCCTGTCCCTCGCTGCCCCAGCCGCCAGCACAGCACCAGGGAGGAATGGGGCCCATGCTTTGGAGTCAGTGAGGTATATGTTGAAATCTCGGCTCTTCCACCTGCTGAGCAAGGGAAAGAACATCTCTGAGCCTCAAGTTCCTCATCTGTGAAATGGGAATAACACTTGCCTTGAAGGACTGAATATTGAGGTAGCATTTATGAAGGGCCTAGCACAGTGCTGGGCGTTACTCGGTAAATGCTCCACAAACCAGCGTGTGTGTGTGTGTGCGCGCATGGCTCAGGGCACCAAATGCTCCTGGTATAAACAGGGACTTCTTAAGTCTGAGCAGATTCAAAGGTTTTCCATCCTCAACCCGATATCCTGGGTCCCGGAGCAGGGCTCAGCTGGAGCCGGGTCGGCTGATAAGGGAGGAGGTGCGTGGCTCACAGCTGGGATGTGGGCTCAAAAAGGAGGGCACTGTGCAGCGTGGAAAGAGCCCCGGCCTGGGAGTCATTGCAGTCCTGTGACCTTGGCCTGCCCTCCTTCTCTCTCCAGGTCCCTTCTGGTGGGTAGGTGCTATGGGTCTCTGAGTAGGTGTGGACAATGGGGCAGGTGGGACATGAGGAAGAGACCCTCCCTACCTGCATGGTGACGTTGGCCGTCTCCACAGGCACACAGTGCAGGGTCTCGTCACCACAGCAGCCGGTGCAGCGCAGCAGGGAGACACAGGACGGGCTGAACAGGTACTGCATCTCATCGGGGTACTCCGACACGATGTCCACCAGCCTCTCCATCGCTCGGCAGTAGCTGCGGCCCCACACTTCCTGGAAGGGCACCACTGCAGAGGGGCACAGTCAGCTGGGTCAGGTCAGGAGGGGCCTGCCCCTCACGCCCCAGTCCTGGCTCCTTAGGCCTTGCAGAACCTGCCGGGTTTAGCCCACACCTCCTCCTCCAGGAAGCCCTCAGCCTACCTGAGCTCCCTCTGCTCTGAACTGATGTGAGCTTATCTGCCGGCTGGAAATCCCAATGGAATGGAATTCCTCAGTGTCCTGAGCTCTCTGCTGTACTCTCAACTTAGGCACCGACACCTGCCTTGGTGCCCTTGGAGCTTCAGGGAGAGTGCCTGGCAGCCCCCAGGCCCGCTGGGCCTTTCTCAGGCCTCCCCTGGTGCTTCCTCAATCCTGGGGACTTTGCAGAAAACAGTTCCATGCAGTCTGCGAGCTTGGCTTGCAGAGTCCCACGGGGAGGGTTAGCCTTGTCCTAGTCCTTATCTCCTGCCCCCCTCTGGGCCAACCCCTCTGCCAGGCAGCCTGTCCCCTCTCCTCATTTTCCTGGGACCAGCCCTCTAAACAACCAGGCCACATTACCAAATCCCCACCTTGGGCTCTGTTCCTCCCCCACTTCTCATTTCTTACCACCCATTTCTCAGGCCCCCCTCCCTGCCTCCTCTCCAAAGCTTTCTCCAACTTTTCTAGTATGAACAGATGTTCCTCCTTTGAGCATAACGAGGCCCCAAGGGCTGGCCTTATCTCAGTCACTGGTGCTCTTATCTCCTTTACAACAAAGTCGAGGCTCTGTGAGGACAGGGACCCAAGCACCCAGTAAACACAGGCTAAATAATGACTGATTGATTAGACGATGGTTCAGTGATTATCAGGGACATCCCCGACCCCTACGATGTCCTGGTGGTCATGAGCGGGAACTTTTGGGGGTCTCTCTGGAATCTCTCAAAAGAGGCTACTCCTTTAGGGGAAGGCCTGGGGCCTGGCCCCAAAAGAGAGGCTCACAGGAAGTGAGTAATCAGAAGCAGGAGAATTGGCTTCTAGTCCTGTACCTATAGTGACTGTGTGACCTTGGGGAGGTCACGTAACCTTTCTGGGTATAGCAGTTTCCTCAGCTGGGGAAAAGAAGCAGGCTGGGAAGAGATGGTTATTAAGGTCCCTCCCATCTCTGATAGATGGTCTGTGATTCTGGGCACACAACCCAGTCCAGCCTTGAGACCATGGGCAGAGAAACATCTCTGGCCCTGGGTCTTCCTGTGCTACACATGATTATCCTCAGTTGGTAAGAGAAGACATGGGCGTTGGGTCACCTGGGGACCCTGAAGCTCTGCCCTAGAGCAATGCTTCTCCTCTTAGCCCCTCACCTCCTTCCACGGCCGTTTCTAGGAGCCAGAAGGGGTCAAAGTCCATTCCACTGAGCCTATAAGGACGTGAGTCTTAGGGTAATCTCAGAGGGAAAATAAACGTCAGCCCTAGCAGAGGCCCTGGGGAAAGACTGAAAGCTGGTGGAAAATACCCAAGGGGCGGTGTGTCCACGTGGAGCTGGCTGAGGAGGCCGCAGAGGCAATAAACCATGCTTATCTGGGCGTCTGCTGCTCCATTCTGCTTTGTCTGCTTACGGGCACTAGGACTAGGCCCAGGGATGGGAGGGAGACCATTCTCCCCCCATTCTGCCTCTCCAGGCCACTGGGACCCTCTCCGTGGACCACCAAAGGGGAAACAAGCCCCTCTTCCCATAAGCAGCCCCCAAAGCCCAGGGAAGCCGGCCTCTGCAGTGCAAGGTCAGAGGGGCACGTCCCTATCATAACGCCACGAACGCGTGTTTAGTCTAAAATCTTCCTAAGCGCTACGTAACTCTGAGCGTTTAATCTCCACCTTGGATGACATAAATACTAGCAGAGAATGGCCAGCTGACAAAGTGCCATAGAAGGCTCAAGATCCTCCTCTGAGACCAGCCACTAGGGAGGGGGACAGCAGCAGAGAAGGGGTACCCCAGCCCCCTACCAGTCTGCAGACTCCCATCCAGCTGGGCTGCTGGGGCCACAGCCAGGTTAAGCAGAGCCAGCTGAGCCTTGGCGGCAAAGGAAGGGATTTCCTTTCCTCACCCCACACCCACCCCACACCCACCACACAGGCTGCATTAGCAGGGCCCAGGCTCCGGGCCGTCAAATCCACCGCTTTCTGGATCACATGGCCGGATGGAGTTGGGGACAGGCTGAGAAGGAGGTGAGCTGGGCCTGGTTTACCTGGGAGCCACCAGGAAAAAGGGAAATTCATTCCCTGAGGCCACTGTCCAGTGTGTGGGAGAAACAAAGGGCCGGCTGGGTAGGGGGCCAGTTAGCAAGTGGTGACCACTCCCAGATGTGGGCTGAGGCCCTCAGGAAAGAGTTCTGCTCAGCTGCTCCTGAGAGCACTTCCTCTGGCCCCAGACCGCCCCAGGGCAGGGCTGGGGTGCGAGGCGGTGGCCCAATCAAGCGCCAGGGCAGGGCCAGGCTGTCCCACAAGGGCTGCTCCCAGGGCCACGAGTGGACTTTCAGCTCTCAGCAGCCCTGTGGGTGAACCTATCTGGCTCCAGCTGCCTGCCACCCAGGACAGAGGGGACCCAAGAAGGGAAATGTTCAATCCTGACAGCAAGCTCCTGGGGAGGCCGCCGGGAGGCCACAGGGCTGGGCAGAACTGCTGGCCACCAGCCCAAGCCCGGAAGGTGTCCTCTGCATAGTCACTTGTGGGGCACACGGCCAACCTGCCGCAGGGACGCTCTGCTCACGCCTGCTCAGCCATGAGCAGTGCATGCTGAGGAGTGTCCAAGGCTTTAGGCAACTCCAAGGGCCTCTGTGAGCCTCAGGTTCTTCATCTATAAAATCCGGAGAATACAAATGCCTTCCTAGTTCATAGCCCGTGGTCAGCACAGAATTATAGCAAACGCCCAGTACTGTTACCCTGATAAGTAGTAGTAAAATCAGCATCCATGGCTGCAAGTACAGACTACACCGCCCCTTGTCTGGTGTTAGCAGGAGGGGATGGCATTTTCAGATTTTGATAACTGGGGTCCAAAGCTCATGGGTCTTCCCCTGGCCACAATCATCCTGATTGATTAGGATGCCCTAATGAATCAACAGTTCCAAGCCTCCTCACCCTGGTCCCTGGAAGATATATACTCCTGTGTCTCCTCCATGGAGTCAGAGAATCCTACAATCTTCGAGAAAAACCTTAGATGTCATGCAGTCTACTGCTCCCATTTACAGGTGAGGAAACTGAGGCTCAGACTTCTTTAGTAGCTGTTGCCTGAAATACACTAAAAGCATCAAAAAGGACATGGGGTGGAGGTGGTGATGGGTCCCTCCCAAAATCTCAGAGAGCATTATGCCAGTGTGCCAGTCTCAGCAGGCACAGCAAGGAGAGAGGGAGACATCAATGAAGGCAGGAGCTGCTGCCTCTCCCACCTTCTCAGTGCCCAAGGGACGTGGGATTCAGGCATGAGAGCATGGCCAGACCCAGGAGAGCTGACTACCAAGCAGGCAGGACGGCGGAGAGAGGGTGTTCCCAGTTCTAATGGCTATTACGTATGTGCGTGTGCATGTCCCTACACACTCCCTCTTCCACACACCGTGGGAAGCTTCAGAAATGGTGTGTGGCCTCACTGCATTTCTTGGAGAGGCAGAGAGGGAGGAGTAAGGCAGGGGGCCAGGCATGAGCATCTTGCCTCCTGCACGTATGTCTCTTTGGCAACCAGCTAGCCCTTTGAAGATTCCCTCTTGATGCAACCCGGGGTGGAGAGTGGAGGGGCCAGGGAGGGCGCGACTCATGTTCGGTCTGTTTGTAATCAATGAAAAGGCCTGGCTGCTGGGAAGGTCTCTTCTCCCCTCCTGATTCTCTTGATCGCTTGCCCACTGCACCCAGCTCCCAGACCACCAGTCTAGCCCCTGGCACTCACTGCCCACACTGCCCTCCAAGACCTCATCTGCCCCCTGACATCATGCTGGGAAGGGGCTCTGAACCAACGAGACCAATCCTGGGTATACTGGCCCCAGCCCTGCTCTCTGGGTGACCCTGGCACAGAAATGCACCTTTCTAGGCCTCTGGGTCACAATAGGGGGTGGGTTCTCAAGCCCTGCCAACTTTGTCAGTCAGGGCCACCAGCCAGCTTGCAGACTTTCCCCAACTTATACCATCCTGCACCCACTCTTCATGCCAGTCCCTTCCCGTCTTCCGGAGAGGCCTGAAAGGAGAGGGCTTGAGCACACGCACCAACCCGGCTTGCTTACCTTCTGTCTCTGATGAGTTGTTCCCAGCAGACAAAGCCAATTGCTGTGGACAGAAAGGTGCAGAGATGAGGGGACCACCACGGGCCTCTGTGCTCTGGGGCCGAGCGTATGGGCAAGAGCATAGAGGGCCGCCCGAGCTCCCTCCCACCCTCTGCACACACTCTCTGCCCTGTCTCAGAGCTGTCTCTTTCCAGGTCCAGCTAAACCTCACTGGACCCTGGGTGGATCCCAGCCCTCACTCTGGCCTCAGTTTCCTCATTTGGAAAGGGTGGGATCTGGAGGCTTTGGAGCACTTTGCGTCCTGTGTCCCAAAGATCTTGTAATCCTTCAGGGTCTTCCTCCTACCCAGCCCCTGGGCCACCCAGCCGGGCCCTATGCAGCCTGCTTTGGCTGGGTGCCAGAGTCTGGGAGAGGTGATCAGCTAGTGGGAGCTGAGGGGCTGAAGTGGGTGGCGCCACGAGCTGGTGCTGCTGGTAACGTTACACCTCTGGCCAGCCCTGCAGTAGGCAAGCCGGTGGCTGGTGGTGCAGCTTTTCTGCCCCAGGGGTCTGTCTAGCTCACCCACCCCTGGGCTGGGGCTGGGGACTCCCAGGGCAGTGGGACAGCGCAGTGGAAAGGCAGCCCATTGGCTTTGTCAGGATTTCGCTGCCCAAGCTGGCTCCTGGCCAGACTCCCCCCGCTCCTGGGAAAAGGGCCCTGCTCACTTCCCCAGGCCCTGCACGCGGGACCTCCGGCTGCCCACCAGGGAGACACGGGACAGCAGGACTTCTTCTCTTGCCCCCAGCCCACCCGAGAGTCCTGGGTTCAGCCTGGGCCCTGATGGGGGCAGGGCCCAGCCTCCCCACCAATGGCCTCTTCTGCTGGCTTTCCCCTCCACCAGACCAGGTCAGAGGTCCTGGGGGCGCCTGCCTGGTCACAGGCCTCGACCCTGACCACAAGGCCAGGGACCAGCCTAGGATTAGCGGAGAGATGCTTTTAGCAAAGCCACTCTGGCTCCAGGGGCCAGACAGGAAACCTCCCTCCCTTCCCTGTGGCTTCCCTGCCCCCACCAAGACAGACCCCAGAGCTGAAGTCTGGGACAGCCCAGCCTGAAGTCTCCTCCCAGACAACGTGGTCCAGCCTGACTCCTGGGAAATGTATGGACATCCTTGGAGGTGCCGCTCCTGGGAGTGGGTCTGTGACTTCTGAATGCCCTGCTTTGCGTGCCGGGGGTGGGGAGACCAGGGGAGCCAGGCTGGGATGTGGGGGTGGGTCTTACCTGGGGGGACACAGCAGGCAGCGCCAGCCCAGCCAGGAGCTGCAGGAAGCAAGTGAACAGCCTCATGGCAGGCATCTTCTCAGAAGTCCCAAGCCAGGAGGCTCCGACGGAAAATCACCATGCTCATCCCCCTGGGGGCGTCCCTGGTACAGGAGGAGAGTTGCTGAGCCGGGGGCTGGATGCCTCCCTCGCTACTGCCCCGAGGTCCCCGCTAGTGGCCCGAGCATCCTCTGGAAGCCCTGGGGACTCAGGAGGCTTCAGGTAAGTCTGTGGCTGGGGAACCTGATGCGAAGCGCCTGTCGGGGCAGGCGGGCCCCTGGGGAAGGTCCGTCGGGCTCCCAGCGCGACCCCAGGTCTTCTCCCCGCTGGCCAGTGAAGATGCGGCTTCCTGCTCCGACAGCAGCTCTCTAGTGGGACTGGAGCTTGTCGGCGACTGGGTTTCAGGAGCCGTGAATGGGGCGGGGCTCCAGGCCCGCCCCGCCCACCGCGGACGAGGCTCCCAGGGAGCGGCTGAGCACCGCGCCGCGGGCTGGCGGGGGCGGCGGGTCCGAGCGCTCGTGCCGCCGGGCTGGAAGGGGCGCGCCGCACGCGGATCCTCGCGCTCCGGGGAGCCCGGCCCGCAGCTCACCCCGGGGCGCCAGGACCCAGTGCCGCCGGCGGAGTGCGGCTCCCAGCTCCTCTCCCGCGATCCTAGGCTGGCTGCCGTGGGTGGGGATCAGGCTGTGGAGTCCGACGTCTGCCAACAAGGCTCAAGACTTCAGCGGCCTCTGGAGAAACTGCGGCCCCAGACCACTAGGAAGGCAGCAGTTTGGTCTGGCCCTTCACAGGGCCACCTATGCCATCCCCACGATCCTCGGGGGCGAAAGGATTATTAACCCCAATTTAAGGATGAAGAAACTGAGGTTTCAGGAGTGCCCCTGCATGCATGTACTGTACATACATATGCACTGGAAAAGTGTGCGTGTGTGACTGACAGATGGAACCCAAGCCACCTGACCAGAACTGGCTCTGCCCCATACACCGGCCTCCTGGCCGAACACTCAGAAGCCAGGCAGCCTATTCCCCTGTGGGAAGCCGTTTTCCCAGGCCCTCCCTGTGAGTCCACCACATGCAAATTAGAGAGTGGCCTAGCGCAGGGTTTCCTGCTGGTCCCAGGAGAAGGAGGAAATGCTCCAACTGGGCAGGGGTCTGCTGACACTGGTCTTCCTGTGTTTGTGTGTGTATATGTCTGTTCATGTATGTGGGCATTTAAGTGTGACTGTGAAGATTCAGTTGTGCTATGAGTCTGAGTGTCTGGATGTGTACCCTGTATGTACAAATGTCACTTGTTTGTGGATCTGGTCTCTTGGTATCTCTGTGCTTGTGTGATTGTGTGTGTGTGTTTGGAAGTGTATCTGAATGTGCATTTCAGTGGGGTTGTGAATTTGCACATCTTTCTGTGTCTGTGTGTGTGTGTTGCTCTGTGTGTGATCATGCATCTCTGTGCATTTGTGTGTGCTCTCCCATGGTTCTCAAGTGTTCACCACCACCACCACCCTTCGTGCACAGCTCCCTGACTGCAAGAACCTGGCAGGATTTGGGGTCATGGGTTGACCCAGGCCTGAGGCTGGTGGGTGACTGGGAGAGGAGGGAGGCCTGGGAGGTGGCCCCTACAGATCACATTCCAACCAGAAGCAGAAAGGCCAGGGCAACCCCAGCTCTCACCCCAGTGACCTCTGTGTCCACTGCCTGTCTGCCCACCCACGAGGGGCTGCTGAAGATGCTGCCTCTCTGCCTGGCCAACCTCAAGCCCGGAGGTCCAGGAGCCAGGGGCCAGTTTCCAGCCAGCTAAGTGGGGGCTGTAAAGAACCTTCTGACAAGCTCCAACGTGCTCCGGCTAATGGAGCAGACAGACTTCTTCCTGGGCCTGGGGTCATGGTGGAGGGTGTCTGGGAATCGCTGGGCATGTGTATGGAGGTGAGCAGATGTGTGATCGGGCATATAGGGATCATATATGTTTGCCCCTAATGTCTGTGCATATTTACGCATGTGTTCATGTGTGTCTTTATTTTGGATTTGAATTTGTATATGGGAACACAGGTGTGTATTGTGTTTGAGTGTGTGCATTGAAGTATTTATTGTATATGCTTGTCTATCACTGAATGTTTTGAGCATTTATAGGGCATATCTACCTGTAACTGTATATGTATAGGGCTATATATATTCGTGTTTGTATTGATTCGTTTATTTCTTCAATGGACACATATTGCTTCAGCCCTGCTATGCACCAGGCAGTGCCCCAGGTGCTGAGCATGTAGTATGGAGGTTCCCTCAAAGTTTACATTCATAGGCGGTGGGGATACGGGTGGCTGGGGGTGCCACAGCCCTCTTTTATACACTCTGGAGGGGGCTCAGTATCTGAGCAAAGTCTGCAATTTCCACAAGCGCACTTCAGTTTTTTTGGTCACTAAACTGAGAACCATACCCTTTTAAACGTGGCTTCTTGGGTTTTGAGATGAATTAGGTAGGGTAGGTGGTAGAAACCAATAAGACCCCCAAGTGTCCATGGGTTCGATAGAAGTTTCCTCTTGCTCACATTCAGTCCAGGGCAGGTGTACTGGTGGCTCTGCTCCCCGGAACTGTGGCTCCGGTCCTTACCAGCCCTATGACCTCAAGTCACTTCCTTTACTTCTCAGAGCCCTGGCTGCCTCCATCTGAAGTGGGAATAATAACAGGACTTACCTCATAGGTGAAGATTGCTGAAGCACCTGGGGTGCGGAAATGGTAGTTGTTAGGCATGATTTCTAATAAACTTTTGATTCTTATTAGAGATAGAGAAACACTATAGTTACAGAGCAGAGTCCTCGTCATCATGGAATGAAACAAAATAAAGAATCTCATGCTTCTGCCAACAGCAGAGGAGCAGAAGGATGGGGGATTTGCATGTGCACGTGCATCCACACATACTGCACACACGCGAATTCTCACCATCACCATCCAGGCGACCAGTCCTCAACTGTCCCTGAAGCCTCTTAGTAGATTCAGGTGCTGTACTCAATCTATTGGCCAAGTCAGTGTTCACAACTCAGCATTTAACTGTTTATCATCACAATCATTTGTTGTTGCTTTGGGGAGAGACTTAATATTTATTGAGCACTTATTATGTGCCAAGCAGTGTGCCTGGTGCTTTAAACACTTCAGCTTATTGAATTCTCACAACAAACCTATGAGGTAGGTTTTAATTATTCCCATTTTGAAGATGGGATAAATGGGGGCACAGGGAGTATAAGTAATTTCCCATAGTCACTTAACTACTAAGGAAGGAACAGAGATGGGGATCAGCCTAGTCTTTCTCCAGAGCTCTTTCCAGTGAGCATAAACTCTCTCTGCCACCCAGATTGCAAATACCTTGAAAGTAGAGCCAATGTCTCAAACCTTTCCTGAGTCTTCCCCTTGCTGGAACAGACTGGGTGTTTGAAAAACTCTGAAAGGTTGATATGTGGGAGGGAGAAGCCCTCATCCCAAGCCTGGAGCTGACCATGTCACAGGTAAACACAAGGGTCTAGGTTGTAGAAACAATTTGGTTCATAACAATACTCATCCTGAGTAGCCATGAGTTCTAGTCCTGCACGCTAGCCTAGCAGGCCAGCCCCTGCTTCCCAAGGCTGCCCCAAAGCACAGGGCTCCCCACACTTTGCATTAGTTACAGCCTTAGTCTGAAACACCCACCTGAATCCATCCCAATTTCTTGACTTTTGGTTTCCTGACTAATTTTCCCATTTTGGCCTAGCCTGTTCATGTCATGACCCTCTGAACTATTTCCCAACTATGACTTTGCCTTCTCAATTTTTTCCCCTTTATTAATTTTAGAGAAAGAGGAAGTGAGAGGGAGAGAGAGATAGAAACATCAATGAGAGAGAACATTGACTGGCCACCCCCTGCCTGCCCCCCACTGGGGATCGTGCCCACAACCTGGGCATGTGTCCTGACTGGGAATCAAACCAGCGACCTCTTGGTGCATGGGTCAATGCTCAACCACTGAGCCACACCGGCTGGACTTTGCCTTCTATCTCTTTTTTTAAATTTTTATCCTCACCCGAGGACATTTTTCCATTTTTTTGTTCAGATAGAGCGGGAGGGAGAGAGAGGAAGAGAGAGAGAGAGAAACATCGACGTGAAGGGACACATCGAGTGGCTGCCACCCGCATGACCCAACCAGGGCTGGGGACAAACTGCAACCGAGGCACGTGCCCTTAGCGGGAACCGAACCTGGGTCTCTCTGTGCCGCAGACCGACGCTCCAACCACTGAGCCACACCGGCTGGACTTTGCCTTCTCTCTTGATAACAATTTGGCATCTGGTGCTAGAGCAGTATCTCAGGTAGCCCTGGGTCATGCATTCCATCTGACCCTGTCCCTGAGCCCCAGATCTGGGTGTGGCGATAGGAGGGCGAGAAGTAGAGATTCCAAGGGCTAGACTCCCCCTCCTGGCTGGCAGAGAGCAGCAGTGGGCAGTGGGGGCTGAGGGCCTTTCCACTTCATAGGCTGGACATGCTTAGCCACCTGCTACCCGAAGTCACTGGCAAGAAGATGCTTGGTCGGCCCCCTCTGCCTTCTCCTCCTGCCTCCTGGGCCCCACTCAGCCTCAACCCTGAGTCCCTCTTCTTCCCTCCATGCGCTCCACCCAGGCAGGCTCCAGGGGCCACCATGGCCACCACCTTGGGGGAGATGCCCTCATCCAGGTTCCCACAGCACCTTGAATTGCTGCTTCATCGTGGCGCCTGGGCCTGTCTCATCACTGCCCAGGGGCTTGTCTGTCTTCCCGCGGACGGTAAGATCTGTGAGGCAGGCGCTTGCTCACCCTCGGATTCCCAGCACCTTGTCCGTCCTAGCACACAGTAGGGGCTTACTTAATGTCTGTTGAGTTGGGCCAATTCTCGGAGCATTTTCCCCTCTGCTCGTGGAAAAAACGTCCCACGTCTGCCCATTCCTTACCCAAACGTCCTTCCTCCTCCAGAGGCAGCTGTCCTAGAGCCCACGTCCAAGGCAACGTGGGTGGGCCTCTCCGGCGGCGCAAGAGCATGGAGGACAACCTCCTGTTACTGTGTAATCATGCCCTGGGCTGGTCACCACAGCCCCGCCAGCCCCCGGGGACAGGCTCTTGCCCCGGCCCAGAGACCAGAACCCGATGGGAGGCCTGGGTGGGGCCCAGTTGGAAGGGAGATAAGAGCAGAAGCTACGGGTGACCGAGTGGTTCCCAGGGGTGGGAAACGAGATGGCACCCGCCACGAGGGCTGTGAACAAGGGAAACCAGAGGAGGTGCCACGGCCTTGCCCCAGGCATCGAGGAACTTGGCAGCCAGGGCTGGGTTTTTTGTGTTTTCTGTAATTATTTCCCTTTTGTTCTC